AACAGAATACTTAATAAACTCTATCTAACTCTATTTAAATCGAACTTTAAAATTTTAATTTTATTATAAAATATTAACGTTAAATACATTTGTAAATTGAACGTAATGAAGCTATTTTCCTAATAAGCCCCAAGGGTTCAGTATAGAGTCAACTATATATATAGGGTTGGTACTTGGCGATGCCAATGATGCATCAATATGGAGCACCAGCTAGCATGAACTTTTAAATTCAAATAGCCTAACTGTAAAAGTGATGATAAGCTATATCTTTTAATTAAACTAATCTGAAAGTTCTCGATGTAGACAGTGAATGAATAACAAAATATAAGTTAAAAGTTTAATAAAATTCTGAAATAACTGTACCACCAACTCTATATATATAGCATTAAATATTTATAATATCAGTATATATACAGTAATTATAAGCCTTTTCTGTATGAGATGAGCTGTTAGGATTTTAATGTAATGATTTATTAATAGATTCAAGAAAATATTTTAGGCAAGCAGAAATTGTTAAAGGGAGAAATAGCAGAAATATCATTATGAAGTCTTTATATAAAAGCTTTTCAGATAATAATTTTATATAAATTTTTCTATGGAATTAATGTATGGCCAATGACCATATTGTCTTCTTTTTGAGGATTTATTAGAGTCAATTTACTTTCTTTTAAAATGACATTAAGTTCTTCGTGTTCTATATATAAATTTTTTGTTAATTTTGTGAAACTCTCATTGAAATTAGTTATGTCATTGAAAGAAACTTCAAGTTTATGGATTATTTGAGGACATTTCTTTATTATCTCTGGTTTAGCTTTAAAGCTAAAAAAGTTAGACTTGGGTTTAAGCTCGCAACACAGTACCTGAACAATAGTGATGCAAAACCCTTTCATATTCTGTGTAGTATACCAACAACTAGAATGATGTTGTAAATTTACAGTTTTTCTATAACTGCTAGTATTGTAAAGTTTATTAGAATTAAATGAATATAACTATCTTACTCCTTTTGTTGTGCAGTTTGTTATATCCATGTTCCATCTACTTGTTGTTGTTTTTGTACTATGGTTGATTATATCATTGCAGCTGGCAGTAAAACCTGCTTGCTATGCTCCAAATGTTAGCTAGATACCTGAAGTTTGCTCACGGCTTGCTGAAAGTTCGATATTTTCTTAGTTGATATTTTGTGAACTATACGCTTTTTTTAGCATAAAAAGTTGGGAAACATCTGACTTGGAAGAAAGTGGAGAGACTCCAATTTCGATGGAGTTAATATAATAGCTAACAAAACTATGAGACAACTTGCAAATTTCATTAAGCATCTGACCCACCCCACAATTGAATAAGTCAATGCCAAACTCTAGAAAATTCCCAGACTTCTGCTTGTCAGTGTTAATATTTGCTCATAGATATGTGTTGATGCCGAAACTTTGAAACTCTTTTTCAAGTTTAGCTTTTGCTATGAATGAGACTTGAATATAAGTATTACCATCTTTATCGCCACCTCCATCATCATAATCATCTCCACTATTTCTATTTTCTTCATTTCCATCTCCTCCACTATTTTCGCCATCTTTATTTTTATTTCCATCATTCATATCTCTATTCTTTGCATAATCTTTTCCATCTCCATCATTTTGGTCCCTATTATTTCCATCCCCACTATTTTTATTTCCTTATCTATTTTGATTACTGTTATTTTTTGAAAAGAGTATATCGTTTGCACCATTTCTATTTACATAGTTCATAGTTTATTATTTCGAATTCATTATCAAATAATGCTGATAGTTTTTTCATTGTTGATATGTCAAGAGGTTTGGTAGCCCAGCAGACAAGATATGGCATAGAATATCCTTGTTGAATGTCAGGCCCTACTGCATATATAGGCTGTTTGTCTAGTACTTTGTAAATTTTGATTTTCTGTTCATTCAGTAGGTACAATGATCAACAAGCTAGAGGGTTAGTATATGGCGAAGTCACAACCAATCTTCCAGAATTTACAAGAAATAGTTTGCGTAAAAAAACTGCAAAGGCTAGAAATATCTACAAGTTGTTTGGAGAAAGTTATGACCCCAATACCAAAAAAATAGTTAAGGGGATAGGAATTGA